ATATGTGTGTGTGTGTGTGGTGTTGGGTGAAAAATATGGGTAAAGCCTAAAAAATATATAGACCGTGAGACCATGAGAGAATAAAAAGAGGTACTGAAGGGGACAAGAGAAGAGATGTGGCATTAACAGGGAAAGAGACAAGGGACTTACAGGGTGGGTCAGGGAGAGGGGCAGAGAAGATGAGGCTGGAGGAGAATCTTACCAAAACACACTGTTCAAAATGCCATAATGACACCTAAATCCTTGTATGCTAATTTTCTTAATTTAAGGAAAAACTCTGGGTTAAAAAAAAAAATAAAGCTAGATGGCTAGGAGGCAAGAACACCTGTCACCAACCCTGACAACCTAACAGATTTTAACAAGTTGTCTCCTGGCCACCACCTCTGCTGTGGCACACTCACACCCACACATACACACGAAATGAGCAAGTTTAGGAAGTCTGTGTAAAAGTCCTCATTCCACACTCTTTGGAGACATACGTACATGAGGCCTTCAAGGCCCAAAATAAACTCTGGGAGTCCCAGAGTTGTTGCCCCTAACCTCCACACAGCCTCCACACCTTTCTATCCAAGCATCAGCGCCTCCTTTCACGGGGTCTCTGAGTATCAGGTTAGGTTGTTATTCTTATAAATAGTTGAAGGCCGGTGAGAACACATTCTAGTAATTGACTGGCCTTTAGAAACTGTAGGAATTGGTGTGGGTTCTTTAACCAGACTACTTAATGCTGGGATCTTAGCCAAATGATTTTTTTTTTTAAGCTTCTTTTTATCCCAGTTACTTGACACGTACCTTATAGGGCTATGGAGAGGATGAAGCTAATCCCCAAAAGGTTACTGTAAAAGTACCTGGAATATGACTTAGAGACTTAGAGACTATGCAAAACATGTACAATGTCCAACGATCTACCACTCAGCAACTCAGACTATATTTAGAGACCTGGTTTTTGAAAGGGAAAGGGAAGTTAAAGCCCCTGGGGTGGATCCTAGTTATGAATGGCTTGCTTCTTAGGAGGAAGAGGTTACAAGACACACACCAAGGGAAGACCATGTGAATACACAAATCCATCTGTAGCCGAGGAAAGATGCCCTCAGAAGGAACCAATCACCCTGGCCACCCCTCCCTCTTGGACTTCCGGCCCTCAAAACTGAGGAATTAATTTTTGTAGCTTTCTAGCCCCAACTCTCTGGTACTTTTTTCAGGAAGAAAACTAATGTAGATGTACATATGAAACAATCAACACATTTAACATATTTATCCAATTAGCCCTGGGGCATCTGAATATAAACCAAGAACAAATATATTTCTTTATCCAACTATGTTTGGGGCAACCTACTATGCCCCCAAACTCAGCAGCTTCACCTTCATCATATAAGCCTATTTTTTTTAATCACAATTTTATTTAGTGTATGAGGGATGGGCATGCCGTGGCATGCGTGGGAAAGTCACTTTGAAGGAATTGCTTCTCTCCTTCACCTATGTCATGGATCAAACTCAGGTCTTAGGCATAACAAGAACCTTTCCCTAATGAGCCATCATGATGGCCCTGATGCCATTTCTCCGTTAGTTAGAAACCACCTTCTTTTTCTAGTCATTTTCTGTGGTGTTTGGTCATCACAGAAGATGGCTTCTTTCAATGGAAACAATCATTTCTCTGAGTGTGAAATGAGCATCGTCACAGCGCCTACTCTCAAGATGCTATGTTGGGTTACCTGGGAAGCCTTTGCAGTTACTTGGAGTTACTGGGTCAATTGTGTGAAGCTAGGGCAGGTGTTTTGTTTTGTTTTAACTTCCCACTTAATTCTAACACGCAACCATGCTTGAACACCAGTATTCTAGCTTGAAGGGCCTTAAAAAAAAAAAAAAAAAAAAAAAAAAAGTCCTCATATTTTTCATTAGTTATCTGTAGGGCCTCTAAGGTCAGTTACAACTTAAAGTGTAGTCCACATGTCACAGGCAAATCATCACCTGCAAGCTTGTTATACTAACCCAAAACCCACTTAAGAGGATTCTCCACTTAATTCAAATTTGCTACAAGATGTTAGAAACACTGAATTCCCATGAGAAGCACTTGGGAAACTCATTTATAAACAAGACTAGTTGGTTTCCTCCAGAGCCACACAGAACCCCAGTCTCTGGGAAAGGCCTGAGAAGCAGGGTTGCATGTGTTCTTGTGCCAGGCTGTCTAGGCCAGTGTATACCACCACCCCTCACTTCTGCTCAGCCTCTCTCTCTGGTAACCCCTGCAATTGTAACTCTGCAATATGAAATAGAACAGCAACACAAGACTTTTTATTATTATTTTTCCACCATACATGCGCACTTGCAAGGATTTATGCTGCTTAGGAACAGGGAAATAATTGCATTATTACCAGGGTATCAAACATCAACCACAACAAACAATGGAAGATTGTGTTGGGGAGATTATTTTCACAGAACACAGCAACCTTAACCGTCCACACAAGTCTCTATGTTACACACAAGACTGATATTGTGAAGGGAGCCTTACACTGGGGTCTTGGACAAATGTACAGCAGAATGGCCCCTTCTTTTGTGGATGTGGTGGGACTATCCTCATCATCACCCTTTGAGTTTCACTAATTATGAAGACTCATTTATGAGGCCCACTTCTGTTAAATCATTAATTTACACAAAATGGACAGAAGCCGACTTGCTGTGATCATAAAAGTGCAGCCCACAGCTGTCAACACCAGAGCCCCAATCTCCCAAAGTACAACCGGCTGTGTCAGCAGAGTACCTCAGACTTCAATAAACAGGGGGAAGAGGAGCTACAGATGGAATCCAGTTGCTTGTAGCTGATGGTGGATGCATCGAGGTAGAAGGCACACAGGGTCCGAGGACCATCTCCTCCAAGCCTGTTTGTGGAAATTTACGTAATAGAGAACAAATAATATTTTAAAGCAAATTTATACAAATATTTTAAAGCAAATTTGTACGGCTCTATTTTCCTCATTGGACAAGACTACAAAAAGTAGTAAGGTTTTACTCAGAGGCCAAATACATAAAATACATCGTAATCTTCCACACATACAAGGCTGCTCCTAGAACAGAAAGCATCCAACACAGTAGCATTGCTTTTGGTTTGTTTCTGTGATTACAAAAAAGAAAAAAAAAATCTACTAATGGTGATTATGACTGTCCAGAACTGTGGGTCCATCCTGGCCCAGGTATCCTGTCTACCAACAACTCCTGTAATCCTCCCTTCCTAACCCTGAGTAAGGTCTCCCCTGTCACCTTTGACACTGAGACATAAACCACCTGTGCGGCCTCAGAAGCCATTTCTGTCGAGTTCTTACTGACCCACTCAATACCAGGCTCATACCTCACACCTATTGTATGCTCTGATTTCCCTGCCTACCATCCCCTTAGCACTGAGTCAAGGACCCCCTCCCAGAGATTACAGTGAAGTCCTCCATAGCAGAATGTGGGTTTGCGGAAGGACTACCTCAGAGAGTTCTACTTTCCACAGAAGGCAAGTCAGGACAGGGGCAAGCCTGGGGTGGGGTGGGCAGAGAGTATCCAGCTCAGCCTGCACACTCACCAGAAATACCTAGAACAGGCTCTGCCTGTGTCTATCCCTAGGAAGACCTTGGGGTTCCCCCATAGTGAGTATACCTGGGCTAAGAAGCAAAGAGAGCAAAGGACTGCTGAGCAGGGAAAATGAGCATGGGCGACCAACAGGGACAAAAGGAAGCCCCTGGGCCTTAAAAGGAACACACAGAAGACAATACTAGAGTCCACAACATTGCTGCCTTAGGGTCCCCAGTTCTAGTGGATGCAACACTTTAGAACTACAGAATGAGTCCAGGATTCAGGACCCTCTTGAGGCCTTCTGGTCCTTTATCCTACCTCAGCCTACTACATGAGTGTGCATAAAAAGCCCCTATCTCCATCCCTGGCTGCACATCAAAAAGCCTGGCTGATGAGTTTCTTTGTCTGAGCTGTGATGCTATTTTGAAGCCAGGGGGAGGGGCCTTTGGGAAGTAGGGGAAGAGGAGAGTAGGAAGGTCAGGAGGTGGAGAGATAGGGAAGTTGACTAAGTGCACGGAGGTGTGAAGTAAGTGCAGACATAACAAATGAAAAAGCTCTTCCTCAGCATCCCACTAGAGCACTCTTGTCCCATCTTAGCAATGAATAAGGAAAGTTGACGAGGCTGACAAAGCTGTGGCCCAAAGTCCTGATCCTCCTCGGGACTCTCAGCATGATAGCAACAAGCGTGTGTTCACAAGTACCAGGCTGCCCACCAGTAGGGTCCTTAAAGTCTGGGGAGGGTGGGTTTGAAGCTCATGCACTGGGAGTGTGCCTGGGTCCATTGGCAGTTGCTGGGGTCGTTCATGAACAAGTCAGTTGAAGCCAACAGCAACGTAGCCAGCAGTCAATGGACTGACTGCAACCAGGCATGGCCAGACTTTGATGAAGGTTCTCTAGTAGACTGGCCCACAGGCAAGAAGAGAGGCATGACGTAAAGGAAACAGAACTTACTCCTATTTACCCTTGACCTCATTCACACCCACTAGTCTGCTGGACACTAGGCTGAAGCTGGAAATAAAATAGGAGGAACTTGGTTGCTGTCCCACAGAACAATAAAAATGGGGCTGGCGGCCATGAGCACTGGCTTCATTTTCGGGTGGGCAAACAGAAAATCTAGCCATCGATAACATGCATGGCTAAAACGAAGACAAAGACCATAGAGCGGCTCAGCTTGAGTATCCATCTGGGCGATGACTCGGAACGTCCACATGAGAGGCAGATGGGGAGGGCCAGAGCTAAGAACAGGGACTGGAGAGTGTGAGGCTGCATACATCTTAATTGCTCAATGTACAGGCAGTGAGGGTGATATCCCACAACATGTAACAACTGTTGTGGACAAGTTGAGGCCATGGGAGAAGCAAAGAACTTGATCACAAATGCCACGTTCTTGAAGATAAGTCCAAAGTGGCAGCCATGCACAATAATGGCATCAACAGAAAGCAGGCGACCAAACCCACGCGGTCATCCCAGCAGGTCCGGCAGGAGGTAGTAGGGATGTCCGCGCAGCATCAGTTGGGCTGCTTTGCCCCGGGTTCAGTGGTCTCCACTGGCTGTTTTGCTGGACCTGGCCTTTCTTCCTTTCCTTTCTCTCCACGGGCTTCTTCACTGATCAGGTAGTACTGTAGAGGATTGGGCCACAGGTCCTCATTGATTATCTCAACAATCTTGTCAGACTCAATAGAGCTGTGATTTGAAAACCACCCAAAGAAGCTACCATTATTCTCTGGGCTTTCCTTGCTCAGGGACTGTAGATCGTGACCTGGGAGCCACTGGATTGGAGCTGAGCGAGATACCACTTGGCCGGAGGGACCACACCCATATTCCTTGACGAGCACCTTGTTTTGGAAATACGGGTTTCGGCCAAAGTAGAACTTGATTTTGTAGCCCAGTCTAGCAAGGCCAAGCTCCTCCACCTCCAGTCTGTTCAAGTAGCTCAATACCTCCTTATCTTTGGTATTCAGAAAAGTTGACAACTGGGGATGGTTCTGAAAAGCTTGCCCCCAGAAGCCGGGGATGCTCTGGATAAGCAGGTTCCGGCGCTCTAAATGGTGAAGTCGCAACTGACCAAACTTACGGGAGAGCCTGAGATAGGCCCTGTCCGCCTGTGCATTCATGGTCTCCAGCTTTAGCTGGACCGTCTCCAGGGTATCCATGCTGCCTATTGTCACGGGCGACCCTGACCCAGCATGCTTCTCTGCTACCTTCCTTTCCTCCCCCACTGGGACAGCGACACATGGCCCTGCAGTGCCCATCTTTGGCTTCCCACTGACTATGGCCTGAGGTCCCCTCCCCGCAGCGCTCCGACTGTCTGGGGCCTTCCTCCCGGGGACTCGCCGGTTTCCAAGGCGGGAGCTGTGTCGCAGCCTCGCCAAGGCTCCCACCGTTCCCACGAAGCTGGTGTCGGTGGCCAGACGCTCGGCGAGGGATGTGGCCCTCTCCAGGCCCGGGTCAGTGGCTGCCAGCCCGCGCTCGCCTGCAGCCCGTGCTCGCAGCGCCAGGCCGCAGTCCAGTGGGAGGCGGCGGACTGCATCATCCCCCAGCTCGGCCGGTTCCGAGCCTCCCTGAGCAGCACCGGCCTGCACCTGCTCGGCCGCGGTGTCCTCCTCCAGCTGCGGGCCCTCTGGCGACTTCGCATCGCGCCAGGCGTCGCCCTCGGCGGCTCGGACCCGGGGTCTGGCCCGGCCTTTGCCCCGGCTTTTGGCGCGGGAAGACCTTCGACCCCTACTCCGACCGCTCATGGTGCCAGCTGACACAGCTTCAAAGCTCTATCAGCCTAGGGTCTCTACCGAGCCGGCCTCTCCATGGTAACCATGACGTCACCACGGCAGGACCCGCTGCTCCCGGTGATTGGCTCCGCAGCAGCGGCTGCGCACCAGCCCACCCATCACAGGCTGCACCCTCTTAATCTCATTTTGCTGTTAGAAAGTTAGTTTCCACCTGCAGTTGACCTTGATTGTGTTGCTGATTCATCTCCTACTACTGATAGCAAGCGTGTCCCCTGGGGCTCATAAGACATACCCATTGATCTTACAATGGCATCCTGAAGACAGCCACCACCAGTGGCCATCATCAATTTTCTACTCTTCCTCCTCAGTTATTCCATGTGACATCTCTCATAATTAAATGTTCATCGATGTTTCTGTCTCACCACATAATTATTCTACTGTGAGATATACCCCAGCAACTTAACTCTGGGGAATGTGTAGGCAGGTGCCATAATGCTGATCTAAAATGATTTAGAAAGAACAAAAAGAAATAGCAACTAGTGCTGTATAATCATACACACAAGGCACTTTACTGAATACTTCTCTTTTTTGCATTATCTCTGTTCATGAAGGAAGCGTTGTAATTATTCCCAGTTTCTTGATTAAAAAAAAATGCAGCTGAAGGGCTGCTGTTACAATTCGGTGGCAAGACACTTGCTTAGCATGGGTTCAGTCCTTGGTGAAGAGGGGGGAGGCAGAGGAGAAGGGTGCTAAGGAACATTCTGGAGATTAAACAGGTAAAGAGAGGAGGCTGTGGCTTATCTGAGTTCATTACCTATGCTATTACAATATGTTGCCCCTTTACAAATGGCTGTGCTGGCTCCTAAGAAAGGCTGTTAACAGACCCCAGACTCTTCTGCCTGGGCCTGAGTTCTCCAGCTGTCTCAGCCTATACAGAGTTGCACTGCGAATCCCAGTCCAGGGCCTAGAAGTAAAGGCCCTGGGTCCAAGCTGCTGTCATTGGAATAGGACGCATGTAGAATGAACTATCGCTCTAGGAGTACAGGAGTTGCAGATGAGAATCCAAGGCGGAGGGTTTCTAGGAGCAGTGAGGAGGCCCTAGAAACTTTTACAGCCTGCAGAGAAGCAGCCAGACAACCTGGCTGGCATTCCTAGAAGAGCCTCAGATCCTATAGCCAGGCTACAGGACCATGAGCAGTGAGGGAATCCATGGCCAGTATGAATGTGTGAACAGAAACCTTCTGAGTGGACCATCCAGGTTCAAATGCAACAAAGCCCTTGCAAGAGCAACAGAGAACTGAGCCCATTGGCCTCTAGGGGTTCAACCCCTCCTTTCTTTTCTCATTCAGTGTCTTTGTGGGCAGCACCAGGAAGCTTGCTCACGGTGCAGAACTACCAGATCAGAAACTAAATGGTAACAAGCTCTCAGGTGGCTTCGTGTCCGTTAAAGTTTGAGTGTAGATGTAGTAGGGGGACATTACTCTGAAACAGACAGGCCCTAGTTTAAAACAACCCAATACAGACGAGTCCTAACTTTCTCAAAAAAGTAGGCAGTTTCCTGCAAGGCTCCAGCTCCAACTCATCTCCCCTCTAACATTCTGTCTGCTACCCTCTGCGATCATTCTGGTCTCCAGGCTCAGACTTCTGTGCTGGCCCTTCCTGCTACTTTAAATGCTCCTTACCCCACATGTGGTCTGGGTCCCTTTTCACTTAAATGCCTCACTCTTAATGCCTTCTTTCTATTTCTGCTTGTATCCCCCCCCCCCCAATGACACCTATCAAAACACTGCCTATAGTGTTTTTCTTTTAAATATGATCTTTAAAGAACATACATTTACTTATTTGGGGTGGTGTGTGTGTGTGTGTGTGTGTGTGTGTGTGTGTGTGTGTGTAAATCAGATGATAATCTGAGGGAGTAGGTTCTTTCCTTCCACGTGGCTGAGTCTGGGACTCCCTTGTTTTTGCTAGCTGGCCAGCGCTTCTGTGCATCCCTTCTGTATCTGCCTCCCACCTCACCATAGGAGTGCAGAGGTCACAGATGCAGCACAAGCCACAGCACTTAATGTTTGATGTTTGTATTTATGTGAGGCCCAGGGATTGAACTCAAGTGGTCAGGTTTGAAGAACCCCTTGGTCTATTGTTTAACACCCTCCTCTCCAGAACGCCACCTCCATGGATGGAGGGGTTTTGTTCATTATTATCTTCAGTTTCTGCATACAAATTGCACTTAATCATTATAGATTGGAAGACTCAATTAAAGCAGAGTTTTTTATAAAAAAAATGTTTATAACTAGTGTCTTTAGTACAAACTATCCCCTTTTCTTCACAGAAGCAAACTATATTCTCAATTCAACATGTGGGAATCTATTAAACTCAACATTGGCCAGAAGTCTGTCTTTTGTTAAGGAATACCCCTCAGGGACAATTCGTAAGTGGAAATCTGGAGTGACAGATGAAAAACATAAGTTGAGAGGATTGCTATTTGACTAATAGAGATGAATTAGTCCAAGGATCGCCTAATTCCTTGTGGAAGGCCTTTCCTGACCACTTCTTCCCCATCTTCCAGTCAGCTCAGACAGCAGTAAGCAGTTCTGACCTGGATCTCATGGGGCATTGGCTCACCTGCTATTTGTTCAATGGTTAGACACATACTCTTTTCTCCAGTTCTATCACAGAATTACTTCTTGGACCAGATAATCAAGGTCTGGAACTCTGTAAATCTCAGATAAATAAAAAGTAAGCTAAAGTGGCCTATATCCCTCTATAAATTGGGGCACATCTCTGAGCCCTTGAGGCTTAAGACATCTCTGTTGTCGAAAGTCTTCAGTGTCTACATCATATAGCTCACCAGAGGCTAAGCCCCTGCAAACACAGTTTAGTGTGCAGTCTGCCTTGAGCCTTGTCTCATCCCGTCAAATAGATATGCATCAGGTAAGAAGAGACCAATAAGGGACTAACACCACTTACAGAAATACTCTTCTGGTCCAGATCGCCCGGTCCCTGTAGCTTTCATATTTAAAGGGCTGGTCTGTGGTGCTGGACTGGTTTTTCTTCCTGAGTATGAATATCAAAATTTATGTGATTGAAGCTTAACTGTATGAAGGGGACTGTGTACCATTTTACTTTTATCCCCCAGAGCACCCAGCATGGAGCCTTGCACACACTAGTAATTATGGCAAAAGCTCACATTTACTAGTACTTTATACGATGCCACATCTTAACTCATATAATCCCATAGCCACCCTAAGGGGCAGAAGCAATTATTGCTCTCCTTTGACGATGAGGTTACCGCTACACAAAATGGTTCAGTAGCTCCCCTAAGGTTACACAGCCAGCAAGAGGGTTTCCAACATCAGGCCCTTCCCTAGTGGCCCATGATGTCAAATTAAAGCTTGAAAGAGTAATTACTCCAATACCTTAATTGCTCTTTTCCTCTCTATTAAGTATTTTCAAAATTATATCTATGCATATATATTTATTATGCATATGCTAACATATACACAATACATACAGAAACTATAACTTATCAAAGGATGTAGTACTCAACATTAAGTTTAGTTTCAACAGCCGATGGTGGGAATACAGCCCTTCAGTTTCTACTCTATTTGTACTAAGTATTCTGTGGATATTATTAGATAAATATAAGTTAATCGTGTACTCAAGGGATCTAAGGATGTTGTAAACGTCTTCCTAATATGTAAAGGCTTAGTCCATAATGATGTGAGCATAGAATTCTTTTTATTGTGGCATTTTATTCTTGGTAAATTTAAAAATAAGTCAAAATGTTATAGTTAGGCTTTGCTTTTGTTTGAAAATCTGGTTCCTTCTGTTTCTTTTAAGGTCAGTTTTGCTCAAATCATAGAAGCTAATGAACTTGGAAAAGGACATCCCAGCCACCCAGTCTATTCCCCAGCCAAGAAAACATTTCCCACAGTCTCCCTAACAGGGTCTCAGGATCCCAGACTTGACATTTGTAGCGATGGAGCTTTTCTCTTCTTCCCCAAGGAGACACTTCAAGCCCCATTAGATGGCAGTGAGTACTTCATGCTGTGTGGAATGTTGCCAACTAACTCCCACCTTCAGCTTCTGGAAGGGCATGGAAAAGAAAACTGTGTTGAGGGAATACTTTCAAAGCCAAGGAAAGAAGGAGAGAAAAACTTAACCTCTTATGGTAAATATCCATACTATCTGAACTTAACATCTTTTTTAAAAAAAAAAAAAAAAATGTGCTTAGCTTCTTCAGAGCCCTCAAATCTGCCATTCCACAGTAGACCACCTAAGTCATCTCAGTTCATTCACATAAGCAGCCAAGGAATATTTGAAAGTATTTCCACATGTGTTTTTCCTTCTTGGAATACCCTTTTTATTATGAAATACCAATAGTACTCTTAAAAGATCTTTAGGCTAGAAAAAGAAAAATACCAGAGAATCCAGAAAAAGATTTAAGTTAAATTTATCACTTTGAAGTCCAAAATGTATACTGAGAAAGTCCTAATATCACTGAAACACACACACACACACACACACACACACACACACACACACACACACACACCACCCCTATATTTCTGGCACAATAGCATTGAAACATAAATATACGTGTGTGTGTGTGTGTGTAGGGGTGCTGGCTAGTTTTATGTCAACTTGACACAATCTAGACTCATATGAAAGGAGGGACCCTCAGGTGAGAAAACGCTTCCATAGGATCCAGCTGTAGGGCATTTTCTTAATTAGTGACTGATAGCAGGAGAAACCAGACCATTGTGGGTGATGCCATCCCTGGACTGGTGGTCCTGGGTTTTATAGGAAAGCAGGCCGACTGCTCTTGAGACTTTTCCTCCTACTGGGTTACCTTGGCCAGCATCGATATGAGGATTTGTGCCTACATTTATTGCATTTTGCTATGCCATATTCAGTTGACATCCCTGGGAGGCCTTTTCTGAAGAGAAACAGAGAAGCAGTGATTGTATCTGGGAGGAGAGGGAGGTGGTGGAGGTGGGGGGGGACTGGGAGGAGGTGGGGGGGACTGGGAGGAGGTGGGGGGGACTGGGAGGAGGTGGGGGGGACTGGGAGGAGGTGGGGGGGACTGGGAGGAGGTGGGGGGGA